GCCTTTTAGGCTTTTATCAAACATGCAAAGGAGGACTTGCATATACGCTACAAATGCAAATGCATGCAAAATACTAAAGTGAAACCATATGTATATTACTTGTGTGCTACAATAAAATGAGTTTTTTTTTAGGTAAAATATTAGTTATCTTAAAGCGTTCGAAAGTATCATAACAACTTGTCACAAATCGGCAAATCCTCAATGTATACTCACTATCTACTATTAGGGTAATGCGGGACTGCGGTAAAGTACATAAAACGTTGTTTGGACCATCATATCTACTCAAATACAAAATGGAATTTATTAAAAAATTGATAAAATACATTAACTACATTTTAAGAAACGACGATATTAAAATCAAAATTATTCACACCTTCGATATAGTAGTAATGGTTTATAAATAAAGCGAACGATCAAGTAAATTGTAATAGTCCAAAGAACGTTGGAAGGCGCAAACAACGCCCGAAGCGCGATGGTACGATTGCGATAAGAAGCTCGGACGAGCGCAAAAGTAGCAAGGCAAGGGGTTAAAAACGTAAGGGTGGCACACATCTGCCTAGGTAACCCTCCCCTTGAAAGATACAACCACCTGGCGTTTGCCACGGTCCGCAAACAAGGGCGACTCGCGGATCAAACCAGATGTCTTATTCGAATTAGCTTTCAAGCATATGCCACCGCATATGACTTCTTATCAGGAGGCGGCGTTCGCGGGCGATCGGAAAAACAAACGGCTTTCTACGGTCCGGTAATTACGCAGTTAAATACATTTTTTTTCTAAAGCCTTAAAATTCGATCACCTTTGCGACTTTTACCTATCAGGAATAAACTGATTAAATTAGATAATAGGAAGGTGTAATTAGAGGAAAGAAAATCGCAGGTAGGTGATATCCGGCGAGGTGCGATTGGCCGATGGAAAGACAACCTCCGCGAATGCGAGTAAACCGTGAGAGAAGGCTTCATCGCTAAAGCGTAGCACGAACAAAAAAAAAAACATAATAAAATCCTCGTCCGAAAGACTGACAGCGATCATTAATTCCCCATTTAAAATTCAAATAAGTAAAAATCGCGCAGCGTTTTATGATTAAAAAAAATGGCGGCGATCGACCAGCGAGGTTATGGACCTGTTGGGCATCAATCTATAAATCCTGTATTGTTACAAAGAGCGTTCAGACATTGATAGCAATCGGCGTGTTTCTACATGGAGCAGCACCGATGATTGTACTTATTATACCATCTGCGCCGTATGAAATGTTACGTTGCCTCTGTATATACCGGGGCCGTTCGATTTGTTTAATTCCTTTAATTAAAACGATGTAGGTATAACGCGATTTGGACGTTTAATAGACACGTCCGAAATTCCATACGCGCTGACTTTTTTGCTCCATCGGCGAAAATTTAATAATGCAAATTACCCGATACTGCCCGGGTGAGAAATTATCGCCGTATTGGCCGGGATTTTCGAATGGCATGTTTGAAATTTGACATTTTATTTTTATTGAAAAATTTTATCTATGCCTATATACCTACCCAATAAGTATTACAACACACCGGTGAAAACTCGCGTTATTTTGAGATGCATCTTCACCTTGCGAGTAAAATAAGTGGCATGCTGTTGGTTTTCTTTCTTCGCTTATTTGTAAAATGAAAAACAGCAATCCGAATCGGCTTTGTTTGTTGACCGTCTTGGGTCGAAGAGAATTGCTGAACAATGAACCCGTTTGACCGTATTTTACTTCTTCAATAATTACCAGACAATGCGAAATTCGATATATGGCATTTGGCCGTGCAGAATGTATTTGTTTCCCGGTAGATCGAAAGTAGCAGATGCCTAACATACGTTCGTAGATTAGGTATCTATAAATTGTCTATTTTTTTTCCCGAATCGGCGAGCCCCCGGGCGTTTACAATTCGAAAATTCGAACAAAAAGCCTGCGTTTTCGAATATCGTATTGCGATCGATCAAGCGACTGACACCGATATCTGTAATTCTATTAACGTTTAAGGCGGTTTTCGTGGGAGGCACAAAGAGGACAATTTGGGTTTCGGATGATCACGCCACCGCGATTCTAAGATTTCTATTGTAAGAATGCTAAAGATGATTGATCATTTTTTAAAAGTGCAAAATACAGGAGTGTTTTCGTCGAGTATTACACAAGTTCCTTACGTATGCAATAATAATTGTATTCAAATCCGGAAGATTGATCTGTTTTTAAACATTTTTGAATAGAAATTATTTGATATGCCTCATAAAGAGTCTTAGAAAGTTGTGCTTTTGGCGGAATTTTCACTAAATAAGAAGCTCCTCTTGATAATACAATGATGAAATTTCCCATTGTCAATGATAAACTTGTTAACTTTGAACTAAGTAAATTTTGCATAAACTTGTAACTTAAATTATCACTGATAGTTCAGAACTATTTGAGAGGTTTCCAGAGAATAGATAAGAAAATGGATTAACTACACACTACTAAAGTGTATTAAAACAAAATTTTAATGTATACCAAACGATCTAGATATACGCGGAAATAGTTAATTTTTAAAGGAAATGATAGTCACGTATGATCCATAGTTAAATCGCAATTTCTTGCTTTTGTTCGTTGCCGAACAAATATTTTTAAGTTCTAGTTGTTGATTACAATGACTCCGACGGAGCGTATCTCCTGTCCTGCAACAGGAAATTTACATCTCTTACCTCAGATTTTAATTTCATCCTATTCTATAGAATCAACTATAGAGGATTCAGATTTTATTGAATTTGTCGACCGTTATCATTTCCCGGCCATGAATTAAGTATGACGATTTCTACGTTTAAATAAGTACACAATCTGCTGTAATTGCTGGAACGAACGTTACCGGTGTCGAACGAAAAGTTCTTTTCGAAAACGATTTATTTAATTCGTTAAATGCGTACGTTAGGACGACCTATATCTATTACGGAGAGATAAAACAGGAACGAAAACGATAAAAGTTAATTTACCGATGTAAGACCTACATTTCCTACGCCGGAATACATTTATAATAAACCGTAATGAATACCTAGCGTACACGCTAATGATGCATCGATTCAAAAACTTCTTTTTCGTGTTTTGATGGATGCCTTTATACTTCGATAATGTGGAAAAGAAGTTACATCAATATGTACTTAGGAATATTAACTTGTTATCTTTGTCTTGATCAAGCTCCTCCCATTGTCACGGAAGACAAGGCACCAATCGAAACAGGTGTACACTCATACCTTTACTTCCAAGAATGAACGACCGACTTCTACACACAGCATTCGCCGGTCGAGATTTTTTACCTACAAATTCGAGCGTATAAAAATTAGCCAAAGGTAATTTTTGACTAATCGGATAGACGAAGATCCCGCGCAAATTTTTAATAAGCCCCGATAAATGTTTACTACAATCGAAGATAATTAAAGCAAACGTTTAGCATACACGGATCGAAATCAATCACTCACTCTCGCATAAATAACCCAACGCGATTGACCGAATCGTTAATGAGCACAATTAATTCCTCAAATATATTTATACCATTAGCACAAATTTACGGGAATCTCGCGTTGAGAGAGAACTGGGGGTGTTGTATTACCGATGATCCGATGATACACTAAGCCATTTAAAGGGTTTTATCGTAGATTCTGATGGAAGATATCTTTATTATAAATAATTTACCGATATTTTTTCACTACTACTTACAAGCTAATAAATTGATCGGTATAAAAGTACCTATAGGTGATGGTATCATTACCAATACCAATTGGTATTATGAGTTAGTAAAGATGGTTAATTTGTTCACTTAATTCCACATAAATTGAAAAAGTGGCTGTCTATAAAACAAAGTAATGTAGTAGTGTAATAAAATTTTCGTTTATAGGAGAAAATTTGTATGAAGGACTTCGGAACTTTGAAGTTTGCAAATTGTTGTTATATGATTATTGGATCTCCCTGTTATCGCATGTATGTGTAGGGCTATTATGTTAAACTGCGCACGTGGTGTCAGCGTCGAACACCTAAAGTGAGCAACACTATTAATTAAGATAACAATAAATGTTTCGCTGTTACAGTATATCCCCGTGCGATATAAATTTCGCAAATTCCGATTTTTATGGCAACGGCTGACATTCGTAGCGAGGATTATCATGAATTTGAACATGGCACTATGTAAAATGGACATAAAATGGAAATAGGCATTGTTTTCCATATATCGGAGGTTTATATATCTGTTTTTATTCGATGAAAGTTTCGTCCGTTCAAATTGTTCCTTATGAGGATGCGCTCGTAAAATACCGTGATATAGTATTTTCATCCGTAAAATTCGGAATATATTTTGTGTTTACATGTTCGGTCGAATAATACTCTTCCATGTTATTAGTTTAGCGATTATTTTTTTTTCTATTAAATTTAGATATGAAGTGGTAGGAATCCCCTCGAATGTAAAACGCAATACCTCGAAATTATCATAGTCATGAATATTCATGAACGGAATGTCAAAGATCAAAATTTATCTGAAAGAAGTCCCGTTCATGACAGTGGGCTTCAAAGTGATAAAAAGACAATCGAAAGGAAACGGAAAGCACTATCAATAACGTTTCGGTTAACAAACAATTTCTTATATTGCAAATTTACAGATAAACACCGAATTATCTCCAATTATCTCAGTGATTCCCCAAAATAATTAGAGTTGTACATTTTTGCAACCATCGATATTGGTTATTTCATACATAGGTAATTTAAGTTAAGTCACTTGATTAATCGTATATTCAAAATAAAAAGTAATCTAGTAAAAAAAGTAAATAATTTTTTGTGAATATCCTGTAATTTATTATTTGTTTTGGTACTGCTGAATGTTAATGGAAGCTAATTTGATTTCATTATCATCGATACGAAAAATATCAAAAATTTCAAACGCATTTGGTCAAAAATGTACACGCTCAATAAATTTTCCGTTGTTTAAAGTTTCAAAATAATACTTGTTTTATAAACAAAATATCTACTCACTGTTTAAATAAAAGGGGGTGATAGATGCGATTCCATTTACTTGGCCTGAAACAAAAAAATAATTTAATTAACCAATCAATACATTCAATTACTAAAAAATCACAATAAATACAGTTACATAATAATTACAAATCAATAATTAATTAACCTTTCTTTGAAACGTCACGGAGATTTAAACGGGAATAATTATTTATTCAACGACTACGTAAACGCAACTGAACCTAACCGTTAAGTATCCTTATTATGAAAGTAACGGGGCGTCATGAAGCGTAATAAGAATATTCCGTCCTCCCACAGATTGAGTTACTTACTCTAATTACAAGTAAATCGGTTTCATGCAAGATTAAGAGCTAATATATCGCATTTATAACTACCCATTATTCCCGTTAGAAAATAATATATCTACTTATTGCTCATTTAAAATGTTACACTTATGTACGCCCATCTGTCACTCCCTTATTATGCTTTAATCCTTCTACAATAACATACTATAATATTTAAAATAAATAAACCGATTAAAACGGGGAAAGAGATGTCAATTAGAATGTATATTTTCATTGCGAAAAATGCAGTTTAAATGGAACAAGAATATATACACCGACGGCGACGCCGACGCCCCCCTGTCAGTCCGCGTTCAAACTAATAAGTAAACCACATATCTCATTAGGATTAGTCCATCAAATTGCGTTGAAGTTAGTAATTCGTCGTGATATAGCTGCAAATGCAATATGTACATTAGCAATTAGCGGAACGACGCACGGTAAGCTGCGTGCGCATGCGTACGCGCCGCGACGACGGCGTGCATTTCCGTTCCGGAAATGTTTACCGGTAATTGCAAGTAATGCACCACGTTAGGAAAATTGCGCATATATTATTCCCCGTTGATCCGAGGGGTAGATTGTTGTGGAGGGACGATTCGGAATTGTCGGGCGAACGTAAAACGGATAATTCGGTATTTTATCAGAAGTGGGATAGAACGTTCCGAGGTCGTAAAAGTGGGAATTTTATATAAAAAAAAGTAAGTGCAATATACTAAAGTGAATTTAAACTACTTACATTGCGTTTGTAAGTAGTTGTTATTATCATTGGGGATGTTATAAATATCCTGCAACTCACCCTCCGTCATTCTTTATCCTAATACGTATGCAGCCCAACATACATTCGACCCGAAAACCTCGGCTCGGCTTTTTCTTCTCCCTACTTTTCGCCGCGAAACCGCTACTTGTTTGCCGTGCAAATACTCTCACGGGGCTGTCAAACCGAACACGTGTACGTGTGTGTACGTATCGCATACTCCACGTGTTGATCACGTGAATAGAAGCGTAACATTTAATGAGCAATTGTGCGGCATACCACAATTAACCATAATGTGTAAACTAGTGACCAAATTATGTACACAGAGTGGGGGTGTCATTGATGCACTTTGTCGATTGATATAGTCATGTATGTTTAGCGAAATACATTAAACGCTTAAACATATATGTGTACGTCTGTGCGTTGTTTATGACGCGAAAATTCGTCCAAATTTAATCGAAATTTGATTGTAATAACGCCATAATCTCTTCCATTCCCTACAGCGATGTCACTATTATGTTCTATTAGAAGCTTGTTTCACCCTGTATGTTTAATTTCATTTCTAATAAATTATCCTGTATATAAATTGTTCGAAAGATGTGGATAACAATTTCTTCAATTGGCAAAAAATTCCCAGATGTAAAACACAATATAGGCATATAGGAATATGGGCACTAAATGAGGAAATTACCGGCATTCGAAATTCATCGATTCCAAATAATCTGCAATCATAATTCATATTATGCAGTAACAAACTTTTAATTCGGCCTCAATTAAATCGCGTCAACACGCCCTACGGCTAGAATGCATTATCAAATTAGCGTTGTACTTGGACATCGGTTTTAATTGGTGTACGTTTCGCTAAAAATTTAATCCGTCGGTTTACTAACCGGTTAATCATCGGCCGCTATAATATCAGTTTCAATTAAACATTAATTATTATTCACACATATTTGACACTGACCTAGGTCAGTGTTAACTATTCAATATATCGGCTATTACCAGTCAATGATGAATATTCGGACGGGACTAATTGTTTAACTCGTAATAGGTGTTATTGATAAAATTAACTGTACGGAGTAATTTGCTTTTAGGGTGCGATTTTTTCGAGTACTTCCCTGCACGGTGCGAGCAATTTGTATATGAAGGGGAGAACGAGTAAATCTTGTCTGACCGGACTTCTGTTAATAATCTACAAAAAGAATCCCGTCGCAAGTGAAATTGGGCCTTACGAACAATATATTTTAGGCCTTTGTTAAACATTTAACGGAAATTTGCGTCTCGAACTCGACGATTATAAAGAAGGGTCGAATAAATTCGAACCAGTCTGAGCCGTGATTTTGTGAACACCGCTGAAATTTGGTAAGGAATATTTCAAACTATTGCGATAAATCCACGCACTCGAAAAAATAAAATTCGCAACGAAAATAACAAAAATCGAGCAATCGGGCGAAATTATAATATGCGTTTTTGATACGAGTAATTTGATTAATATCTACAAATAATGTAAAACTCGCCCTCTAATGCGATAATCAAATTCAGCTAATTGACTTTTAATTTCATTAATAAATGAACAAGTGGTCGCGTTTGAACAAATTTAATTTGTTATTATAACTTTAACTGTATCGGATTGGATTATTCTAATTTCGCTCGCGGCGCTGACGATTTGTCGCAGACAATAAATGTAAAAAATTGTTGTTTCAATTTGTTAAAAACCAAAAATCACGCAAAAAACGATAATTCAAATTTTGATTTTTTTTGGTAATGCCGCTTTTCAGATAAATCGGTAAAGTTTCACTTAGAGCAGCAAAGGAAAAATTATATGTATAAATGCAAATTAAATTTAAAACTAGTATAAAAATTAGAAGTGTAATTAAATTGTGAAGTGTATAAAAATGTGTGCTATATGAAAATTTTACTAATGATTATTCTGAAATAAATTCAAGTGAGATACATTAAAATAATCCTAAGAAAATTTAAAATTTAGCGTGATGAGTTTATAGTTATTTTGAATTTTATAGCATTAAATTTTCTTGCATTATCGTAGCACAATAATTTAAAAAATTATTATAATTTTACCCGCATGAAACAAGTGTTGTAAAATTTTCAACATTTTTTGAAACGTTTGTGGTGGTTTCAAATATTTTTTGAAAATATGAAGAAGTGTATCGGTGTGTAAATTGTCAAAATAAAACAAAACAAAAATAAAAATTTTTTATTAAAAAAAAATAAACATAAAAAGCGCCACATCGAACATGCACGTTATTATTTTTACCTTCAGACCCAATCGAAATAATCCATCTTATTTTTTACATTTAAACCCACTAAACAGTCCCGCACATCACTCGATAGAATCCCAAAAGTCCGAAAATAAAAAGTAAAAAAATAGTAACACTTATAGTTAAGACATCCAAGTCTAATGTCTGTATCACCAAGGAGCGTTGCACTGAAATATATCCCAAGTCCAAAGGATGTCGGTGGAACAGCGCAGGACTAAACACTGTATCCTTACGCCACGGATGATGCCGAAGAAGTGAAGGCGCCAGGCTAAGACATCAGTTTAAGGCGCTCCTTGGGATAAAGAAGGCGTCGTAGACCGACGCCGACCGTCGACTGACACAAGACGTCGAAGGGGAAGGACGCGCGCCGACGCCGGCACCCCTCTCCCCCAGGACACGCCTCCTCGCGAGGGGAGGTCGGTAATTAAGTGTTATTTTTAAGTAGCTGCTAAGATTTTTAAAGAAATACTCTCGGTTTCGTTTCGCGCTTTTACCCCGCTGGCTAAATTTTCGCGGCGGAAACGCCGCCGATTTTCGACGATTTCGGAGCTTTCGGGACGCTCGAAATTTTTCTTTACCTCTTCATTTTATTTATCTACACATAAAGCGGTTTTTATTTGTTTAGTATTTTGTGTTAATTAATCAGAAAACAACACTTTTCAATCAGATTATGTAAAAAATGAAGTGTTTTCAGATATAAATACACTACCCACAAAGCACAAAGTTCATTAGAGCTTTCAAGTTTAATTTTTTATAGTATAAATCTGATTAGGCCGCATATAATTACAATTTAAGCAAGCAACATTTTATTTTGAACTTTTTAACGAATAAATTTAATCAAACGGCCCAAAATTTTTGTAAAAAATACACCTAATTATTTACAGCACTATTCATCAAGTTACTTACTATAAAAAACACAAAAAATAATTCAAAATACACCCGGCATCAATCCGTTTTCAAATTTAAAGAGCTTTTTATACGCAGTTAATTCACTAGCAGCATTTTTTTAGCGAAATTCAATTAACGTAGCTGGAAGTTGATTTTTTTAGGAATCGAAACTGATGGTTGCATAAAGTGAGATCAACGTTTTAACTTGAAATTGATAATGCCCAAAGCTACGGTTCGGCAATTCCGCATTCAGACAAAACGAGGATAACATGAGGAAATCGTGGTGTATCTCTAACATGCCAATCACTTACAAATAAGCGCGTCACGAAAGTAAGACTAATTGGAATTTTGGATTGAAATGATGGTTGAATGTGGGTAGGTATGTATCTATGTATTTTTTTGAAAACGAAATTTTAAATTAACTTTTTGCCTTATTTACGAAGTCGATTATTTGGTTTTAGAGAGTTGGATGATTATTTTATTGTTTAATTGAACTCGATTGTACGTGGATTTAGTATTTATATTTCTTTTAGAGAACTTTTACTGTTACAGCGATTGTATTTATCACGTTAGTTTTATTCACTCTTCACAATTTTTAAGCTCACTCTTTTTTAGTCGGAATTATCCTCGATTCACTTTAATTAGTTTTATTATTTTAGTGTAGAGAGTTTTTCGGTGTTTTTCACAAGTTTATTAGGTACCAATATTATTGTTTACCGGCGTTTACTTTCACTTGAATTACGCTAAGAGCTAGCAAAAAAGACCTGTCAGGCGAAAAAACGAACCAAAAGCAAAATGCGACATCATAGGCGACTTACCTTCGGGTAGTTTATCCTTAAGAATTAAAAAAGACGAGTACACTTAATATAGGAATCATAACACTTGGGAAACATGGCAATGAATGTCCGTCTTGTGGGATACTATCAGGCATTATCAAGGAGTGGGGAGACGCATGAGCAAGTCGCGTCTGGACGCCAAGGATGCCGACCGGTGGCGCCCTCGCACATCCTTCGGCGACGGCGGGAACTTTTGACGCAGCTTTTTTGCACGCATCCACGGCGAAAGAGGATTTCCAAGCGTTTCCGAAAAAGGGGTGTACGCTCTGTTGGGTCCTGAACGCCGCAGCGGATGCAAATGCTCGGTTTCACACACGCGATTTTCGCGAAATTTTAAAGTAAATTTTTATACCGAAGTGTTTCGGATTGATCGGGTCCTTATCACATTCATTTTTAAATCACTTATACATGTTTATCAATTCGCTTATACATTAATTAAGAAAAAAACTAATATTTTCGATTCATCAGGATAGATAATTAAACCTATATAAATTTACTGTTGGTTTATGAAATGCGAAATTAAACACAAATCAAAAACTAGCTACAATTTCAGGGAATAGTGAACGCGTAGAATATTCAAATATTCACCCTCGCAATGGTAAAATTCCGAGCCTAGCGATTGCAATATCAATAAATTGGTACAACCAAACAGTAAAAATATATCATCTGAATTGTATAGGTTTCAATTTAGATTCCTGGTATATTTCGGCTGCAATAACCGATTTTTTTTTTTCATCAAACCGTGTATAAGTCGCTTCGTCGTGCATTTTTCAATTCGACCGGACACTTAATTTTATTTAAAAAAAAATACCATCTATACGGTTTTAATTGCTTCCCTCGAGTACCTAATTTTCCATTTGGGTCCCTCCCATTGTCTTAATTGAATGCATTTCCGATGTCCATCTAAGTCTCGGTTAACCAACTGCTGGTTTAAGAGCCCATTAAGTCGTCGTATATTTGAATTAAATTCGAATGGTCAAGAAAGAAATACACGGTATCCCCGTTACTCGACAATCAAATTGCTCACTAAAATTTATTAACCATTTATCTTTCGACGCGTTCGCAAGACGGCTCTCTCCTAGAATAATCGCCGTATGGAGCGAAAAAATTAATTCGAAATTTCTATTTGTGATGTGGTAAAAAAATTTGTACATTCGAATTTGAGCCGAAATATTCTGAACTTATTTACTTTTCATCTGTGTCTGCCCGACAACGCAGAAACGAATTTATTATAATTATTATAGCTGTTCTGGAAAGCACCAATGTCAATAAATGCTTAACTGTTCGAAAATTGTTGTTTTTCAATTACGCATTTGTTAATATACTGTTTATCGACGTTTTCCGTATCGATACACTTCAAATTTCGCTACGAATTCAACGTTCAAAGCCGGTAAAGTAAAAACGGTATTGGCAAATAAAGCGAATTTTACGCAGGCACATCATCGTCTATTTTCCATACGTATTTGTATTACCTGTGTACATTATTTAAATTAATTCTACCTTTAATTTTGTAGATTCATCTTGATATAGTAAGTATATGTTTAAATTTTTTCCTTGCAGTTTATTAAGTTTGTAAATTGTAATTGTAAATTAAGTATGCTTCCTGTGATTCGTACACCTATATGAAGCACATCTGAGATTGGAATCGTTGCCGCAAAAGTCATCTACAAACATACTATTGATTCCGGTTAATAGCTGGCAAGCAACCAACAGGTGGTCCGCACAAAACCATAAAAAATAAAAAAAAAGTGCAACATTTTTTTATTGAGCTTTTTTTTCAGCGGTCGTTCGGTCGACACCTATTAATTCGTTTTTCAATTTTACTTTTTACATGTACGGTTTTTCAATGTCGCTATAAAAATTTAACTTTTTATTAATTATGTAAACAGAATATATTCATCGGTTTGGCGCGTTTGTTGATTAAGCTTTTTAAACTTTCCGCCCGCGTTTGAAGCGAACCTAATTACGCTCCGCAAGATATTTTATTTTGTAAATTCTTTAAGTATTTTTAAGACATTTTAATCACTCGATGATATAATAAAATCTTTGCACTGTTATTAACAATGTTCTACAAACTACATTTAATGAGCTACAAAAATAACTTACCAATTCTTTAGAGTTTCAATATTAAATTTACGTTACTTGAAATTAACTTAAACATTTAAAATTACTATTGCACGCGGTATTTGCACTTCGTTTCACTAAAAATTATTGAAAAAAAATATATTAGCACATATCCAGACCGTTCGATACGCCTTTCTTCGCCTCGTCTCCAATGCTTCAAAGACAACTGACTTTCTTCGGTTCCTTTGAGGCGTCTCAGAAGATTGTTGTACATATTCTCCCCACTTTTTAACGGTCAAAAAAGTCACATATGTCGCTTGTGATAAGGCACGCGACCGTTGAAGATGTCTTCCTTGAGTGATTTTCGTCTTGTGCCTTACTATGGTCTGATGGAGGCATTAATTCGCTATCAACACGTGCCCTTTTCGCTCGTGCACGAATTAAATTAACTCGCCCTTTTCTAAGAAATAATTCAGAAGTAGTATACTATATTATTGCAATATACGATTGGTTCGATTTAACATAATAAGAAATTAGCTGGAGTGGTTGATGAGGCAGGATGTTATTTCGCCCTTATTTTACAACTGTTTCTCTAATTTCGAAGATAAATGGAGTTGTTTATTGCCAATCATTCTGACAAAGAAAAAAGTTTAGGTAATAAAAAAACCAAAGGCGTACCAAACAGGGATAACTCAACAATTCTTAAGGCTTATACCTGATCTATTATTACCTAAAACATAAGCCATTAAACATAATATGCATGCATTAAATTAGGATTAAATCAATGCATATTTTCTAATCAAATCCCTCAAAAATCCCCTTCAAACATTCCTGTACCCACCTTGATTCTACCGCATAAACCATTAACTCGCTGGTTATGCGAGCCATGTGTTCAGCGTTTCATCTTAATAAGGTTGTTATACAGCGTTGTTATGTAATAAGTTCGTCTTAAAGACGTTGGGATCGACTCCTTCCGCCCTACGATAGCGCGTGAACGGCCGGAAGTCGGGGTTATCTTTGCGGAACGATTAGCCGAGGGTTGGAAAGCACGAGCCGCGATGATTGCGATTGATGGGTCTCTATTTCGTATAAACGAGCGTCTATTTCGTTGTAAAAATCTGTCCGCCCGATTTTCGAATTGCTATTTATAATCGAGCGTGTATACAATTAATTGTGAACGGGACGCACTGTATGTCGTATAGAACGTTAGGTAATAAAATACGTGCCGTATATTATTTTTTATAGGTGAGTTTGGAAAAAGACAAACCCTTTTCGAGTTCTATTAGCGACTGAAACCATTATCGCGTGTCATTACCGAAGTTAATCATCTCAAAATATCAAACGTTGTATTGGACAAACAACGGCCGCGTTCTAAAGAACAATTTCCATAACGATCGTCTTTAAAAATGTATAAGGACAAGCCATACGGCTTTTTATAACTATAAAAATGGAAACAATGTCGATATATTATAAGACAATCATTAGTTATCTGCAAATATAATCTACACCTGGTTTCCACGCAAGGCGGTACACACACGACTTGATATATTATTTATTAAGTCGTTTTTAATAATATTTGACGTCGATATTTATAAGTTGAAGTAGTAATTGTCGGTAAAATATAGGGAAAATTTTTTTTCTTATTTTTCAATACAAAATCAACCCTTTGTCGTTCATTTCTGGATATCCCGTATAGGCAGCTATTATCGAATAAAAAAAATTAAGATCTCCCACTGACCGATAATAGCATAGCACACAGTGAATAGGGATAGTTTTTATAACAGAGGGGGAGTTCTTACCATAAAGCTCGCTATAATACAAACTCACCTGGTTTCATTTAAATAAGTTAATTGACGTAACGTTCATCAACAAAGGCACATTAAATGAAAACTAATGTACATTTTCTACCAGTAGAAAACACCAAAAGACACTAATAGAAAAACGTTATTTCACAAATAATTGTACCTACTCATTTTATCTTAGAACTGTACTATATAAATTTTAGACATGCACAATATTCCCTATGTATGTAATATACCTCAACAGAGTATAATATATTCAGTTTACTGATGTATCAGGAGATAGCAAGATTCCATTTTATGTGCGTTTGTCAATACAATAGATCGGACCCTCTAAACACAGAGGTTGGCTTTATCTGATTACTGAATAGTTAATAAAGGAAACTCCGTTTTGTCCGCATGCATTCAAGGCGGAAATCGACTAAGTTTACGTGCGACACGTTTCGCCCGACGAGGAAATCCATCAGGTTGCCGGAATTATTAGTGTACAGAGTTTCTTCTAACACGCCAATATTTTTCCGTTAATTACCAGTCGAGGAAATTCCGGGCAGAGGCGGAATTATTTTCCAGCAACGGTAGGAAACCCTCAAAGGAGCTTGGGCACGACATGTTTAAGTCGCAGAGGGCATTACAGCGGACCGTGCGATCAGATGACCCCGTAAATAATATTTTTAATAGCAGAGCTCGAGATCCTCGACCAGATAGGAACGTAAGTAAATTAGCGGTAAAGCCTTGGAAGGCGCGGCCCCCAGGAGGATGTCTTTAGGAGCGGTTCGCACACTCTCCGACAGGCGTGGAGTCCCTTAGCGTGCTGCTAAAGTAAAGTAAACCAACTGCTAACTAATGAATTCAACGCGTTTCGTTTTCAATATAGGCTGGGCCGGTTGCGTTGCAAACGAAGAAATTCCCAAACACGTAATAAGTTTGGAGTCCCACAGAGAATCATTTATTTTTTCGCATTATATCCTTATTATAGCACAAACAATAATCACTCCTTTTTGCTAGAAATTATAATAACACACACGGTAAACTCACACCCACTCATTTAAATTAAAGCAACCCTGTCGCGTGTCTTAACCCATCACCTTTTATTAAAGACAATTCGTGCATTAAGAATTGTAAAGGTGTGGATAATCGTAAATCCTGCGGCCGATCCGCGGACTTGATAATGCCGTTTAAGGGATAATATAATTTATTTATCGGACGGGATTTTCTGCACAGAAGTCAACTAAAAAATCCAATTTTTTTCCGAGTTAATTATGAAAAGTTTCGCCAGTGTCTCCGTAACTAGAATTTGACGTTGATGTGATCTCTCTTGCTGAATTTTTCAGTTTGTTGTTACACGGACACGATGCAGCTGCCAGATATAGGGCAAGTGTAACGGGGAAATTGTTGAACGCTGAAATATTCATCGTATAGTTAGGGTAAGTCACAGTTTGACGAATTGAATGATAGCTATATTATTTACCAAACGTTAATTTATTTTAGAGAGGGCAGATTTGTTTGGAAATTAATCAATTTCTATCAGTTGATTAAAAATTAACGTACCTACACTGAGAGAAAAGTGAGAGTAATAGTTAATTTGCGCTGAGTTTGAGTAAAATTAGTTTAATGTTAATGTTCTTAGATAAATATAAAATAACACAAATTAATTGAATTACACTTTAGATTTTCGTTATGTAGAAATGAATAATAATATACGAAAATAAATAATTCGGGAAGATAAATATACGACAAAAGTAAGTTTAATTTTAACAAATTATATTTTTAATTAAAACTCAGCATAGTTACGCTGCACTATGCAGAAAAATATAAAACAACTTACTAATTTTAATTGGAACTTTGACTATTTAGAACTGAACATACCATATTATAATATTTACCAAAATGAGTTATAACAAAATGTACCATTCGTTAACAGTTAACAAACAAGTGAAAATGGTTTAAAAGAGCGCTTAGTTTAAATGTATCTAAGGTGATGTTCCCAATATGCAAAGTTGTGGTGAGTTAATAGTTAACAAGTTTCGCTTGATTTTAATGAGTGGTTTTCTCAGTGTACTGTTACTAGTAATTTTTTATTAGATTGTTCCTGTGTTATTTTTTAACGGGAAAAAGAACATCAGCGGGATATTTATAAAAAAGTCCTGCCAATATCGTGTCTATTATGATCTTACAAGATCGGTTAATCACCGGTCCGAAATCGTTGATAATTATTTTGTAATTATCGTTTAAAACATCGTTAGCCGCCCGGTTAAGAAGCTCGTTATCTTTGAACAGATTCGTAAATTCAACGTGAATGTATTCGATGTTTCCTATTGCTTCTGAACCGTTCAATGCTAAATATTCCACCCCCCGGCGCTGAACCATCTTTAAGTACCCCGTATACTTCATCCGGAGACCGGCTGAAAAATAATAACGTGGATATTCACTTAATTCACATCGATTCCGCTTACTTATATTCGCTTTCAATTCGCCGGTAGAGTCCAATTGGAACATCAAAAGCTTCCCCACGAGCCGGTAATTCGTTACCATCCGCATGCTCGTCATGGTGTATTCGACCACTAGGACTTTCTCGTGGAAGTTGATATCGATGTAGGTGGTTTCAGAGTTGGAAACGTCGTATAACTTCAGGTCGGTCATGTTGCCTCTGAAATCGCCGCTGGAGAAGAGCGGGGCCGTCGAAATGAGCAGGGGATTCAAGTTGGGCAGCTGCAGCTCCGGTATGCCTTTTTCTAATCGGGGTTTCAGGGATCGGACGTTCCTCAGCAGACATTCTCCGGCTTTCGGATCGTTTCGATAGCACGGCTCGATGAATGATGCTGCGATTTTGGATCGAATTGATATGAGGGATTAAAATATTTGTAAGTACTTACGCAAGTTCTTGGCACATTCTGCGTAAACCGCGCAAAAAATCAAAACTGCTTTTAACATGTTTCTGAGAGCGCAGTGGTTGGTATAAGAATTCTCGAATAGAACTGGTCTTATAAATATTTGTAGATACATACAGATTTTGGTGGATAATGGTTTTTCTTTGCTAACGTTTGCAGTGCATTATAATTAACTAAAATTTATTTAATGATTGTTAATAGATAGTGTTGACTTTTAATTAGTTTTTTACAAGGTAAATAAATAAATATTCTAGGTATTGGTTATTTCATTAATATTTTAAATTGATCATAAAAGTTAACTCTTGTTTCAATCAATCAAGTATCTATTTTACAGTAGGTTTCTATTAAATCATAATTGTAAATTTGTATAATTTACTTTTAAAAAAAAAAACATGACCAAAACTAAAATTTCAACTCTCTCAATAACTTTATATACTTATACCGTACTTTGGACGAGCAGATGTTGACACAATTTTTTCATTAGGTATAGGTACAACTAAATTAATTTGATCAATTTTTTTTAATCTGATTAATTATAGGTACACTGCACTTTACATTATCTTGTCGCTGTAATTAATTGCTATTTCTCTATTAGCCAGCCTTCGAAAAAACGTAGTTTGTCAATTTGTGCAGACATCGCAATTAGTTCATCATTTAGGTACACAAACTAGTATTAAAATCACTGATTCGTAGAAGGATGAATTTAATCAAACATAAATGGTATGCAAATTTAAATACCGCAAAGATTCGAGATAGAAATCTTAGATTCTTCACAACAATGGTCGTCCCTTTCAACTCGCCTAACGGGCGTCCTTAACGAAAATGACCCTATACTCATACAAGCTGGCTTCTAATGTATTTGTTTTCATTTGCATAATAATTAGCCCAAAATTGGATGACGCTGATCTCTATATTCGAATCTATTAAGATTGCCAAATGCTAAATCCTTATGCCCATTAAGTTTACGAAGGCTATTCGCATAATACCTTCCACCAGAAAGGCACAAAAAACTGCACAAATGACTGAAATTAAGCGCCCGATTTTTTACTGCAATTCAATTTGTAAAATTCCCAAACACCTACGCCATTATCCTAGTTTTATCTCTAGTTCATGGCCCGCAAATAAAATTTAATCGCCGGAATATTTCAAAGTATTAAGCGAAATAATTCAAGAATGCGAGCGTTACTTAGGCTAATGCCACGCATACGAGTTCGAAATGAGAATTAATGATAGCGGTCGCGGCGCTGTTAATTAACAGGGGAAAGACAGTGTTTTTATAATTACCGTACGTTTTACCGCAATTGTTACTTTATTTATTTTTCATGAACGGCATCGGATCATAATTGTGTAATTGTTTTAAAAAGACTTCGCACACACACGGGCAAACGCGCTTCGGAGTTTTTCTTCGTGCACGCGACCGGAGCGGAATTTAAATTAAAGTGAGCGAAGTTTAGTGTTAATTTAGGTACAAATGAACTTTTTAATGGACCGATGTTCTTGTTTGTTTAACCGAGCAATCCTGCAGAAAAGTGTTCATTAATCTTCGGTCAATATTGTCGTGACTGATAGTTTCGTTTACAACTACCGGCTTCTTGACCCTTGTTCTCTAATCTTATTAAGCAAGTTATTAATCTTGACGCCAAGATAAATCATCCGTTACAGGTTTGCAATACGGTACAGCGAACATTGCGTACCACCAGCGTTGTTTATCGGGTCATTTTTTCCATCGTAAGTCATAAAAATAAAAAATCTCAGCATTGTCCGCAGAGCCATTTAAAAACGCGGAGCTGCCGAAACGACTTAATAAATCAACATCATTCCATAGAAATGCCTTGTCAACGTATCCTCACTTAACCTGACAAATGTACTACCAATAAAAGTAAGCGGCGCCGCGCGATCGATATTTCCCTCTTCGTTTGAACCGGGCGTTCCGACGGCGATGGACAATCGACGCCGAGCTCGGCGCTCGTCTAAACCCGGAATGAATTAGATGGACCATAAACGTCAAAAATTTTTTTTTATTCGTTCGACGACCCATCCGTATTCCTGATTTACCTCAACATTGATTTTAGCTAATAAATAAGGGTGAAAAACTGGTTTATCCCTTGTTCCGTGAGACTTGGAATGAAATAAACAGAGAATTGGACGTGATCGTTCCAATATTCAGCTAATAAATTAATGTACTCGCGGAGATTCCAAAATTGCCGAAACGGGCAATAAATTCGGCAGATTAAGCTGTTTACTGGTGATGTTTATATCGTTAATTCCTAATTTTCTCGTACGACTCTTATATCCTGCTGCTCCTTTTCATTCGACATAATAGATGCAAATACACTTCAAAATTTACGTTCTCCGGCATCAGGATAAAACAGGCTAATTTAATGATCACGCCACTCCAGTCTTAATGTTGCAGCGGTTCAAGGACAACAGACCGCTTAATAAGGATTAACAGCTGGAGTCGTCGGGGAAACAAGAAAAATCCATTGAAAGAAACTGCGTTGAAAGTAAACGGATCTTTCATAAGTAACGCTTTTATTTTCAAGGTTCGTTATGGATGAAAAATCGATAACGAAAGCTCGACACAATAGAAATAATGTTCACCGCTCACTTTGTAATATGCAATATGAATTTTCTACTTAAAATATTAATTGCATAGGTTTTCGCATATCGGATTGAGAAAATAATGGCGCTATTTTTGAAAATTAAACAACGGTAGGTAAAGCTTATCAGCATCGACAGCCCGTCCATCGGATATACGACAACGGGTCAAGTCTTGCAGGGAAACAACCTGAGCGTGAAGCTCGCGCCCCGGCAACCCGCCCGACCCCGGCGTGATTTTTTCCCGTCAAGTTTTACCGATAATTTCAGCAGTAGCGGTCAGCCCCAACAGGCTTTGTGCAAACACTGTCGCCGCCGGCAGTTATTAGTTCCAATAACAAGGGCCGCCAACTTAAACTCGCCGTACACTAGTAAAGTTGTTCCGGCCAGTCTCTAATCACTCCTATTCAAGGCGCCGCGACGCCCGAATGCCCGCCGACCGCCTTAGGACTCGGTCACTTCGGGTCCCTTTCTTAGCTTATCTATCATCAATTAAGAATAGATAATCCGTATCGAACTTAAATGCGGTATAATGGAATAATGGAGAGCGGTGCCGGGGCATCGGAGATTCAGCGCAGTTAAGATACATTTATAGTTTGCGACAAACGGCACGGATTCGCTTCCCAGCGACCACTATTTCGAACGAACTGTAATCGCTATTTCGAACATGTAAAGTTTCGTCGGTAATTCGTGATTCAATTATAATGTATGTACGATGTTGCGTTGATTTGTATCGGATTCGATGCGTTTTTTTTTATAAGTGGCCTAGTCATGGTATCTAATGCAGTTCGTTCTGGACGAGCCGATAGTGGGACATTATTAAGTTGGACAAACGGGAAACGCGTGAAAAATTTGAATGTTTCCAAGTTCCATTGTCGCCTGGCGAATTTCCTCTGCAAAGACATCAATCTTTTTAAATGTATGTCGTCGAGTATGGTCGTTTCTTTGTAATTTTCCTAAAAGGCCGGCATTAATTTAAAATGCCGGACGTTTTAATTCCAACAAAGAACACTCGAGAGTCCACACCGAGTGTATTTTTAGGGCTTTTTACAACTATTTATTTTTCGGTATAGCCGACTCATTCACACCATGTGTTTTTACAAAACTATATAAATCTAATTTATCCAACTATCTACCACAAACTTCAAAACGGCCGGTAGTTCAAAACGAATTGCAACAAACAAGTTCCATTATTTAAAGTAGGCACTCGTTAAATATAAAAATAATTTTAATTAGCCTCATCTTCCGCTGATTAAGGCCGAAAAAAAATCTCCACTTTAAGACAAAACCCGAAGCAATTAAAAAACTTGAAGCCAACTAAAACCCGAGCCGGTTTTAAAAAAGCTAATTTCCAACTTAAAGACTTAAAAGAGTCTTTCGTGGATTTTTTCTCGGTAGCGAAACTTAAATACATTTTAATTAAAGCTACTTTTCGAGCGCATCGAGTCTTAACTGGCAACCCTTTACTGACTCATTGCTACTTGTACTTTTAATCTTTTCGTATTTCTTGAGCAGAAATGAATGCCAAGATTATTAAGGGAATTAAAGGACATTGTTTGTAAATATCCCCGAGCGGAGATGTGGCAATTTCGAATCGCAACCCTTTTTATGCAGTTCTGTATGCACAACAGATAAAACTCGCTCATAAAAATATGACTGCTGATGTCTGGTGCATATAGGGTGATTTCTAAATTTCAATCGGCAAGTTATGTAAATTGCGAGGGTATTGATGAGTCACGGAACGAATTTCTTCCGGTAGGAATCTCAATCTTAAGGAACATTAACAAGATTGAAACGGTCATTCGATGTCCTTATAAAATATGCAAATTCGAGATTGTAAATTAGGGACGCACTAAGCAAGCAATTTATGTGGACAAAGGGGTTAGAAGACATTAGATAGGGGAGAAAATCTATACTTAATTTTACCGGCACGCATTGTGCACTGTACCCTCGCTCGTTGTCGCTAAAAACTCTCAGATGGTCAAGCTTCCCCATTTCCGCGTGAAAAAGCATTTACAATTTTTATTTTTCAGCCTGCAATTTGCGGTACATTACGGCAGGCTAAGGTTACTTAACTAGCATAACAAATGTATTTTAATTTGCGTAAAATGGACAATCATTGTTAGTTCGTAAAATTTTTTCACGCGTTTACACGATTTTTCTCCATCCGAATCGATAATTTTTCACTTAACACGAACCATTCATATGCCTTGAGTCCCCCGATTACAATCGACTGTATTTATGGGCAATTAGGCCTACGGACACGTCCAGCATTTACCGTGCATTTTCGATGTATTATCGCCATCAGAAATCTCACATGTTCGAAGCGCCCGAAAGAAAATGACACGCACTACGTGATTGTCTTTCTGTTTTACGATTACATCGACTACACAACAAACAAAAGGTTCACATATATAGATTCGGCGTCCAAATATTTGCAGATGAAATTTTGTTATGCAGTTGTAATTTTAAATGATGATTTCGCCTATACGGATTCGACGAAATCCAGGACGAAATACACTAATTGTTTAGTTTGTAGGGATTAAATGTCTTGAATAAAATCGTTT